AGTCTAACCTTTAAAAATTAATTAATGGGGGGGGGAAACCTATGTGATCACACCAATAAATACATAGAAAGTGTGTGTGATAAAACGCAATAACTTCACAATAAAAACTCTTGGAAAATTAAGAAAAAAGAGAACATCCTCAACCTGATAAAGAGCCACCTGGAAAAAAAACCTACAGCCAATATCTAACGGTAACGGGTAGAAAATATCCCTCCCAAGACTGGAAAAGAGCCATGTATGTGTCCCCTCACCATGTCTACTCAATACCACACTGGCAGTTGTAGCATGCAAAAAGCAAGAAAAATAGGTAACAGGTACATGGATTACAAAGGAAGAAGTAAAACTGGCATTATTAGCAGCAGAGACAATTGTCTACGTTAAAAAAAAAAAACAGATTTCAAAGTTCAAATAATAAGACAAAAAACTAAGTTTTGTAGGATTATTGGACATAGCATCAACTCACGGCTAAAACTCAGCCACACCTCTCTCTGCCAGCAGAAGAGCGGGGCATGGGCAGTCCTTCCCATGCTTGCCTTGCAGCTTCGAAATGACAACTTCTTCATGCCCAGCAATGGTGAGCACCTTTTGATATGCTTCTTGGCCATCTGGTATCTTCTTTTGAATGCCTACATAATTTTAAATCCGTTGTCCCACAGGAGGTGAGCAGAGGGAAAGGGACAGAGGGAAACAGGGGGGTACAGGGAGCCAGCAACAGGTGACCAGGGCACTCAGCCTGTCCCCCTCAGCTGAACCCAGGCACAGCTTCAGACCAGAGCCCAGAAGGTTGCGTGTGCGTGGGCAGCACATCAGGTGTGCTGTCCAAGCCAGTCATCCCAGCAGCACACTCTGTGCAGACCTGTCTCTCCCCCCAGGGCTTACAGGCAGTGACAGGTGAGGCTTCCTGGCTTAGACCCACTACAGGCCCACCCACCTGCCCTCTCCATCCTGAGACAGCCATTCACATGCAGGCCTGAGGCAGCTGGGCTGGAATCCAATAAATATCAAAGACTTAGAAACCAGTTGTGGGCAAAAGCACCACCTCCTACTGATGTGTGTTTACACACAGCTGCTGTAACAAGTCTGGACACACACTCAGGAAAACGCACGGGCCACAGTCGCCTCCTCGGCAATGACAAGGTGTCTAGTTACAGCCTAGTTTCTGCTCATTGTGTCCAGGTCTTCCTCAGCCCTGCTGCTGCACAGGGCCTCCTGGTTCTCAGCACCAGGTTCTCAGCTGATGGGGCCCAGGGCAGGGCCAGGGCAGGGCCTGGCCAGGACCCCCACTGGAGAATCGGGTGGAACTCGGCCCCACTCTATGAATCAGGGACTGACAGTGGCACTGGCTGGGCTACGGGGTGAGGAGAGGGCTATGTGTGCAAGGCCCTGGCACTTTCTGGGTGGCAGCAGACACACTTGGGCAAGAATGAAGGTTGGGCAGGAGGGGGAATGAGTTTGAATGTTTTTAAATCAAGTCCTTATTCTTTCTGAACAAAGATTTCCTGTGTCTGGCCCTGGGCCCAGGTCACACTCCTACCCATGGGCTGGACAGGGTGACAGGAGGATCCGGGGTGCCTCTCCATGGGTGGGGGCCATGAACCCCTTTCACTCCTACCCCTACAATGTGAACTCACTCTACAGGACCCTCCCAAGTCCTGCTGATAGCAGTAGGGTAGTGGTTGGGGGTGGAAGATGCTCCTCCTCCTCAGCTAAAGGGGTGAGTCCTGGAAGAAGACCAAGAGTCCCACAGGCAGTGGGGGTGAGATGGGCCAGGGATGCCCACAGCCAGCACAGGCTGTACTCCCAGTGGTGCAGTTCTGGCAAGGAAGAGAGCTGGCCTTCATGTGCCTTCTTGGGGTGTGGATTTCATATGGAAGGAAAGCACAGCTCCTGAAGGAATTGAGGTGGCATGTGAGCCAAGCTAGCTGGCCAAGGCCATAGGAGGAGGCCAGGACAGCGACCACAGAGCCAAGCAGGGTCAGTATAGAGGGAGAAGGGGAGGAATTGGAGTGAAAGGGGAGGGTGAGGGCAGAAAAAGACATGTCTGGGATGACTTTGGGGGCTTTGGCTAAAGGCCCCAAGGAGGGTGCTGCCACCAACCTGAAGAGGGGATAGGGAGGAACGTGTCACACCTGTCCCCCATCCACCTGGAAGATGAGAGCTATGGCTACCTGAGACCCAGCCCAGAGCAAGGTGCAGGGCATGCTCCGAGGACAGTGAGGAGAGACAGCTGGGCCACCAGCAGCCCAGAGGGGCGGGAGAGCCAGCCTTACCGTGAGGCCCAGCTCCGCACCATATCATCCTATCCTTAGCAGCTTTTAGAGGTAAAAGTTACATGCTACAAATTCACCCATTCCAAGTGTGCAGTGCAGTGGCTTATATCTACAGACCTGCACAAACATCACCACCATCTAACTTTAGAATATTTCCAACACCGCAAACAGAAATCCTGTACCCTTAAGCAGTCAATGCCCCCAGCTCCTGGAAACCACCCCCTCTGTTTTCTCTCTCTGTGGATTTGCCTGTTATGGGCATTTCACATCAGTGGTATCATACAGCACGTACACCGCAAACAGAAATCCTGTACCCTTAAGCAGTCAATGCCCCCAGCTCCTGGAAACCACCCCCTCTGCTTTCTCTCTCTGTGGATTTGCCTGTTATGGGCATTTCACATCAGTGGTATCATACAGCACGTGGACTTTCATATCTACTTCTTCCACGCGGCTCCATGTTCCAGGTTTGTCCATGTTTGAGGCTCATCCACTACCCCTCTTTATGACTGCATGACATTTAATCGTGCTCACCCATCCCTCATCCCTCAGCTGAGGGACATGTTGGGGGACAGAGCATCCCCCCAACCCCCTGGCCACTGTGAATGGTGCTGCAGTGAGCACTGGTGCCCAAGTCCTTGGGCTCACGCAGCTTCATGTTTCCCTTGGGCTGACGCAGGCGAGGGGCTACCAGGTCATGTGGTAATGTGTCTACCTCCAGGAGCAGTGGCTTTCACAGTGGCTGCGCCACTCTGCCCTCCCACCAGCAGCACAAGGAATAGCACTGCAATTTCCCTTGGGCCAGCATCCTCCTTGTCCCTCTCACTCACTAGGAGGTCCACACTCCCCGCAGGAGTGGCTGCTCTGAGCTGCAGGAGCAAGAGGAGGGCGTGATGGGGGCAGAAGCACACTTCCCCACCTGCATATGTGGATTTCCAGTGCTGACAGCCCTCAACGGCCCTTACACACTCTCAGGAGACAGAGCTGGACACTGACCCTGAGGCTCTGCTTGGCTTCTATCCCGGGCCTTCATGTGACCATGGCCTTCATCTGACCTGTCTCCCAACAGAGTGAGGCTGGGGCAGCCCTCTCAGTGCAGCATCCACAGAAGAGCTCAAAGGACACAGAACAGCAGGTGGGGTGGCAGCGACCTCTGGCAGAGGGGGCCATGACATTGTAACACACAGGGGTGGGGCTCTGTTAACCTGCATCAGTGCTGCTGGGGTTTCACAGCATTCATTAAAGCATATGTATGCTTCAGACATTTTTATGCTGAAATGGTAAATTTCAAAAATTTACAAGGACATTTTAATGACAGATTCTGATACTGATGATCACCCAGCCGGAAACACAATCAACATGTCTACGCAGAACATGGTCTCCAAGCCCCCTCCTCAAACTCCTCCCTTAAATAGCAAGACCACCAGGGTCACCTGACATCGAGGACAGCCTCCCACAGAGACCAAACTGAAAGAAACAGACCACGAGAGAAGAGATCAATAAAGTATCACTACTTCCTATGAGATGAGAATGGGATATTACAAAAAAGAGATATTCAGGCTGGCCGGTTAGAACGTGGTGCTAATAACAAGAAGGTCAAGGGTTCGCATGCCCATACTGGCCAGCTACCAAAACAAACAAACAAACAGAAATATTCAGATAACATGCAGAAATTAAAGACATGAGAGCAGAAATGAAGTCTTCATTGGCAGGTCAAGTTTAGGCTCTCTCTCACAGCAGAAGAGACAAGCAGGTGGGAGAGAAGAGAAGAGACGTAGAGCCCAGTCAGTGGAACGGGCAGAGTCACAAAGAAAGTGAACAGGGACAGCAATCAAAGAGGTGACTCAACAGAGGTCGTGACAGGGGCTGCTGGACAGAAAGGCTTACCAGGCTCCCACCGTGAGATTTCTGAACACTGAAAGCAGAGAAAGATGTACAGGCTTTCAGAGAAAGCACCACAGAAACACACAAAGGACCGGGAATCAGAATGCATCGAACCCCAGACGGGAATGCTGGAGGCAGGACGACGTGGGGCCGCCCAGAGGCTGCACCCTAGTAGCCCAGGAAGCAGGCTCCCCATGCAGAAGAGAAGGGAGCCCTGAGAGGGACAAGGGAAAGAACCTCCAAACAGGCACCTGCATGGCAGGCTCGGACAGCAGACAGACAGTAGAGGGGCTGGGAGGCACCGGAAGAGGCTTCTTTAGGAGGATGGGTCTGAGGGCAGCAGACAGCGCAGGCCTGGAGGCAAGGTGAGTGCACAGAGACCCAGCACGAGAGCACAGGGAGAGCAGAGCTGTGTGAGAGAGGTCAGGAGGCCTCCTCGCCCACTACCTGGCAGCCAAGGCACCTGGAGCCACAGGTATTCCCATGTGGGCGGTGGTCCTCCACCTCCTCAAACCAGAAGACAGGTCCAAACAACAGGAAGACGCAGGGGACGGCCCAAGTCCGAGTCAGCCCACAAGTGGGAAGGAAACCTGGGCCATGACCTCGGGGCCGCAGGACCCTCGCTCCATCCCCCGAGGGCTGCGGGAGGGGCGAGCGCCAGCTTCCCAATTCTTCAACCCAGCCAAATCTGCCTCAAATCCAGAAAGCCCTGGGCTAACTGAGACAATCCAGTAAGGTATTTTCCAATTAAATACAAATGCCAAGTTACTGCAACTGCTGAACCACAATACTTGAGGGAACCAAGAACCAAGATGGGGTCCTAGAGGGGCTCCCCAAACCAAAGGATACGCGGTGTGCCCTCGGTGCGGCAGACCAGGTAGAGGCAGGCGGCGATGACGTGGGCCATCTTCCGACCACGGGTCAGGTGCTTGCTCACGGCCATCTTGAAGAAGTTGAAGGCAGTGTCCAGGCAGTGCTGGTTCAGCTGCAGCTGGTTCCCCAGGTGGTGGATGTGGCGCCGCCCTAGGACACACACAAGCGACTCTTAACGAAACGTTGCCACCAACCCACAACCCTCAGGTAACTGACAACTTTTCAAAAAATCAGTGTCACATGACAACCTCAGCAATTTAAGATTATGTGTATAGATTTGCCCTTTTCCTTATAAGTTTTTTAATTCACTGTGTGTGTGTGTGTGTGTGTCTGTATGTGTTCCCATCAGTTTTTATTTTTATTTATTTATTTATTTTTTAATTTTTTAAATTTTATTTTGTCGATATACAATGCGGTTGATTATTGTTGCCCCTTACCAAAACCTCCCTCCCTCCTCCCTCTCCTCCCTCCCACCCAACAATGTCCTTTCTGTTTGCTTGTCGTATCAACTTCAAGTAATTGTAGTTGTTATATCTTCTTCCCCCCCCCCCCCGGTTTTTTTTTTTTTTTGTGTGTGTGTGTGTGTGTATGTGTGTGTGAATTTATTTATTTATTTTTAGCTCCCACCAATAAGTGAGAACATGTGGTATTTCTCTTTCTGTGCCTGACTCGTTTCACTTAATATAATTCTCTCAAGATCCATCCATAAAAAAAAGAAAGACAGCACCATGCACGCTCACGCAAGAGCAAAGACCACCCCGCGGCCCAGCAAGATTCAGAGGTAAACAGAGTCAGCTGATGGGAGACCCACTGAAGCTGGGGCCCGTTATCTACTTTGTCTTTGGGGTATGTTTGGAAAACTCCATAGTAAGAGGTAAGAGAGAAAGTACTCTCCACAGGGTGCATGACCGAGGCTGGCACCTGCTCCCAAGCCCCAACCCCTCGGCAGGGGCTTGCTGGCACTAGCCCTCCTGTGTAGGCTATGTTCCCAACATGCAGGGGTGGCTTGGGGGTGCTACAGACTGAGTCGTTGTGTCTCCCCAAAATCTACATATTGAAATCCTAACTCTCAAGGTGCTGGTATTAGGAGGAGGGGTCTTTGGGACACAATTAGGTCATGGGATAGAGCCCCAGTGATGAGATCAGTGTCCTTAAAAAAAGGGACCCCAGAGAGATTGGTCAGCCCTTCTGCCACATGAGGACACAGCAAAGAGGCACCGTCTGTGAACCAGGATGCCACCCTCCCCAGACACAAATCTGCCAGTGCCCTGACCTAGGACTTCCAGCCTCCAAAACTGTGAGAAATAAATTTCTGTTGTTTAAGCCGCCCAGTCTGTGGTATATTTGTTACAGCAGCCCAATCGGACTAAGACAGTGGGCTCAGAATTACTGTAGTAAGTTATTTTTTAACATCTTTATTGCAATATGATTGATATACTGTAAAACTTACCCACTTAAAGTGTACAATTCAATCATTTTAGTATATTCACAGAGTTGTGCAATCACAATTTAGTACATTTTTCATCACACAAAAAAGCTCCCCAGTAGCATTTACTCCTACCCCACTCCTGAAAAAACGTTAAACTCTTGAGTTCAGCACTCACCATTAGCAGACTGAACAAATCACATGACTTAGACATGATTGCAATTTGTAAATATACAAAGACGTTATTAATAAATACAAATGCATATAAAACCAATTACTAGTTAACTAACCACAGCTTACTATCCTTAGCTTCCTTCTCATAAGCGAATTCTGGAAGTAAACCTTACAACACATAGGCGCTCTCGACATTTTGACATCATGTGAAAATCAGGCCAGCCTTTCCATTGCAGCCAGGGTTGGATGGCCACTGTCCACAGCCCCGCGACAAGTCCTAATCAAAAGACAGAGACTCAGACCGAGTGGAGTCTATTCCAGACAGGCAAGGTGACTTCAACATTCACAAAACCAATGTGATTCACCACATTAACAAAGGAAAGAGAAATCACTTCAATGCACACCAGGAATCATGTGATGAAATGCTACCATTCTTTTTACTTTTTTTATTTTTTGTCTTTCTTGTGACCGGTAAAGGGATCGCAACCCTTGGCTTGTGTTGGGCCACATTCCGGTGCAAGCACATCATAAGGCGTCTGCCTGTGTGTAGTTCCTATTTTCTAATATAAACCAAGCGGCGGCCGTTTTGAAATACAAGTTCACTGCCGCCATTTCAGTAGCGCTGATATGCACGTAGTCAATTGCTCTCTCTTCCGGGGCCTAGTGACTAAGCAACTTTTTCCCCCGCTCTGCCATCACCCACCCCCCCAACTCGTGGCCTCCCCTGATTGGGCAGCCGTCCCTACAACTTTTTCCCGCTCTGCCATCACCCACCCCCCTAACTCATGGCCTCCCCTGATTGGGCAGCCGTCCCTTCCCGCTCTCTCTATCTACTTCCACTTTCTCCCTCTATATAAGCTCCAACACCCTTGTAATAAACGGAGTTCTGGCTTTGACCACTCTTCTGGCTCGGTGGTGTTCTTTCTCGGCCCCCGGGGAGGAAGGTCCTGGGGGGGAAGGGCCGTGCCAGCGACACTCATCATCCCGCTCAGCCCCATAAGAGGTTGCCGCCGGCTGGTCCGGGGTCTCTTCCAGCCCGGCTTTGTCGGTCTCCGGCAGTGGGAGAACCGACAAACTGGTGCCCCGTGTGAGGAATTTTGGACTCCTCGGAAGTTTCGCTGACGGGCCAATCGGTCTTCGGGTGAGTGTACCCCCATAAGATATGGGGCAGTCTTCTTCCTCTAAACCCAATCCAGCTTTACTCATTGGATTAAAGAGCTATACACTTTATTCTTTTCTTTCC